GCTAGGTCAACAAAGGGCTTCTAAGAGCATGTCAAACTCATTTTCAGTCCTATACAACAAATGAGATAAAGTTGATCGTAGTGTGGGAAGGGGCGGGAACGATTAGTTGGAATGACTAATGTGGTGGGTGCTCTACTTTGCCGATCCCAGTAAAAAGTTAACCGAACGATTTCACCATCAGTTCAATTCAACCTATCCCAAGGGGAGGGAGCGAGAAAGCAAGATTATACTGAGAATGGGACGAGGACTGGAAAAGAAGCGTAATAACACGGCTGGGCAAGACTGGCGAACCCCAAGACAATGCGTGTACTAATGTAGCTCGCTCCACGCCACAGAACAGTACAGACAGGCGGGTGGGCAAGTGGGTGGACAGGCAGTCAGGTAGGCAAGAGGTACCCTTGTTCCAGAGTTTATCGATCCGGGGGAGGGGAGGCAGGATGGGAGGGGAGAAGAAAGGACGTGCATGGGGTCTCCAAACGCGCACACGCACCAGTTGCTCGTATACGGATGTGTGTGTGGGGTGTATTGACGCATGAACAACAACAACAACGCCAGTGGAAGCAGTAGCACCAGCAACGCATAAATCAGGTGTGTGCGCACGATCGTGGGTGCATGCAAGTACGAATTCCTCTTCGAGGGGCGGTGGGAAGATGCATAAGTGGGTGCTGCTGTCGATGCTATTTCAACCTCCAATCACCCAAAAACTAGTTTCTGACTCGATTAACACCACCTCTTCAGAAGGTCTGCAAATATTTAAAACCAGCATTCCGACAAGAAACCATTCCTTCCACCTACGTAAAGGTTTCAAAACCAGGACGTCAAAGTGCCAGAAAAGGTGAAGAATAGTTGTTGAACAAACAATGGAAAAGTGATTGGTCCACAGCAGAGAGTTGGGCAACGGAATATGGAGGATAGCAGATGCAAATGAATGTACATGGACGTGCAAGAAGCATTTTAGAGTTGACAACAAGCAGAAAACCGTGAAAGGACCAACTCAATCAGAGGTCGGATTTCAGAAGCCCGATTTGGGAGCATACAGGGTCAAAAACAAAGTGTTAGCATGATCAAGGGTATTCGTGAAAGTTTGATTAAGAGAGAGCTCGCCATAAAGGAGCAAGTAGTCTTTACTTTATACATAAGAAAGGTCCGATTTTAATTGGCCTCAAAAAGTTATGCATTTTCTCTCAGTTCAAAGTCCATTCATTGCTGCATAAGAAATCCATTCATTTGCCAAAAATCGCTTTAGAAGGATGGAGTAAGGCTAACTCTTTGGTGTCCCAAGGCGACACAACTAACAACCATTGGTAGGTGCAAGTAAAACGCTTTACTCTCCCATCCGGCAATGGGGAATTCATTGAGGTTACTAAAGGAACATTGTAAAAATTGTCTCAAAAATGTTTTAAATGCTAACGGAAAGTGATGAAGTAAAGATGCCGCTGCAAGCATTTCAACTATTTCGTAGTTTTTATGCCCTGACTCGACTTGTGTTTCTGTTGCAACGCCCGAGCCCTCAATGTTTGATTGGATTGCGCCATAATAATTGTCCGCGTCAGACATACGTGACGTCGAGATTTTCCCACCACCCAGCGCCGCCTGTATGACATGCGCTTTTGTCAGGTCATGAATAACTGGTCGCACCACATGCTTCACAAGCGGATTGGTTGAGTAAAGAAACTTCTAAAATAGATGGCAGGTAATGTTCTGACGTCGATTACATACCTTACATATATCGAGGCAATCGAACATCCGAGGTGAGGCGCTCAAACATCAGTGCATAAGTTGATTAGCATGAGTACCAAAACAATATTTTCACGTGCGGAGGGTAAACAATACAGGTTGTTAAGACAAAGAAACGTAACTTGAAAGACTTCCTTAGCAGCGTCATAGACGTAATGTAGGAGAAGTTACAAATCTTAATGCAGCCATACAGTCGAAGTAAAGCGCTACATTCCGTAGCGAAAAGCACTCATTGCTATCAATAAACTAAAACCTTTTTCAAACAGACATAATGACGCAAAGCTTGGTAACAGACTCCTTTAAACGCATTGAATGGACACGCAATTTGGAAGGGCGGCAGTGACATCATCATCAAATATAGTACAATGGGATTACACAAGGAATTTGCCGATCGTGTTAGAGAAGGATTAGCAGGAAAACCTACCCTAAAGCTTCAAGGGGTTTTGTAAGTTCAAAACTCTTGGAAAAATGCAGTGCCTATTCATCATGAACACACTGTTTGGCGATTAACTGCAACGGTTGCGCAAAATTTGCACCCAGTCAAGGATCGCACAAACACCTGGATAATACTAGCGATGTAGAAGAAATGTGTGACATACCTCTGGTCAGTTTCACCGGAATGATGGATAAACTAAGAAGTTTCTCAACTCAAAGAATGAAGTCTCAAGTATCCCACAGTCGTGACTGCGGTGACCGAGTTTCCACTCAGATCCAAGTGACGCTAAACTATCCAAATGGAGTCTGCAAATGAGACCCATGGTGTTGACAAACTTAAGGGAGTTTTATTAATAAAGTACAATTTATTAGGGGAAGCAGAAGTCATGCACTGCCCCCATATAAATCAGTTAGTTTCCTGTAAAAAACCCCAACAGAAGGAAAGTTTAGTTCAAACAGGATCAAAGCAAAAGAGCGCCTGCAAGTATTGCCAAAGTACATGAATTTCACATCCATACACCAAACGGGAGCTTGGCCTATATGGACGGCTGGTAGACTTAAGCAAAGTCGCTCCGTCATCTTGCTCAAGCACCAGACGCTATTTTCATTACTAAAGATTGTTGTTATCAAAAACACTTCAGCTTGGTTTAGGGCAATGATAAATGTTGAAAAGTAGCAAAAAAAGTTGCTTCAAATCCAAGCCATGTTTCGCAGGAGTAGTTTCACAAAACCCAATGGCACAAAACGCTGGTCGACCCACCGCTTGGTCAGCTGGAGAGCCAGGAGCCACCTGATCAACTAGCAGGAAGGGCACAGAACGGGAAGGTGGTTCGGTGGAAGGCCGAGCTATGGGGGAATCAGTATCCATCTCCTCCGCACCTCCTCTTGTCTTTGAGAGCAGGCGCGCCGAAACTGTCTCTAACTGCTTCATAACTTCATTGTGGTCTGTATTAAGACCTACAAATAAAAAGGATGAAACTAAAAGACACCGTTTAGTCTTGCCTAGGAGTGGATGCATTAACTTTTATGCAGGACTAAAGCACTTTGGTGCATGCTAACTGTCACACCTAATGGGAATTCAAAATTGCATCTCCTCAGCTATTACCGATGTCAGAAAAAAACGTTCCTTCTGAAGGTGGTACCGTTTTGAGGGTGAGGAAGGACAGAGAGGCTAGCGAGTTCCATATTACCGACACAGGAACCAATTTGTGGGGGAGTTCAAAGCACTTGGACATAATATTTAATTGGAGCAGTCATTTAATTACTTAGTTTCTTGATAATCTTACATCTAGCCTACAGCAATAGTTATCGGTGGCACTGAATCCACGCTCAATGGAGCAATTTAATTCCAATCAACCATATCTTAGATTACAATAGGTCCATCTGACCTGAACACTGCAAACTGCAATTAGGATTTCTTGGAAGTTTTCAATCACTAGCAGATGATTTTCTTTTGAAAAATTAACCCAAACAACAAAACGAGCTAGATTAAGTGTGAAAAAATATTCCAAACTTTATTCAATATCAAGGATGTAGATTCGTCGGGTCGCAATCAAAAGCCAATGGTTTCATATTTGGGTTTTTAAAAGTTACCAGTATTGTCGATCTTTAAAGTAATCACGATAACCTAAACCCACCAGTAACCACCAATATCATAAATAGTAAAGGAGAGAAAGATCCGAATCCAACGAGAAAAATGCGAAAGTGAAGTCTTAGTGAACTACATGAAATGTAATGCTTCTCGCGTGGTCGAAGAGAAGAATAATCCGAATAGGCTTCTGAGTAAAGAAGGACAATGGAAGAGGGAAACCAGAACCTAGCTTCGAGGATCTGCTGGATAGATGTTAACCGAAAGGCTGCCTTCGAAACAGCTCCCGAACAAAGTAGAACAACAAGTCGTAGTTAGCATAACTCTTTCATACCCGGACAAACGTGTAGAAAAGAAAAAAGAAGTGTTGATAGTGCTAATCACAATGAAAATTAGTCGGCAAAATGCAGTAAAGTGTAATTAAATAACATACAAATAATTCGATTACGTGCAGTTCTCACGGCGACCACGTCGATATCACTGCGTGGGAATCCCTCCGAATCCAACAGAGGACCATGCATGCCAACATTTCTGTTCTGCGATAGAGAAAATGACGTGGATGAACCGTCCAGTCGCCCTCAAAGTGAATTAATCAAACATCACCCACACGTCGTGATGATTTCTTAGGTTCAGCAAATATGAAATCCATTCAGATGGTAGTGTACGATTAGCTGAATTCGGCGAGTGACTTCTCAACCCTAATACTACCGAGAGGCTGTGGAAGAAACTTGATATTGGAAGAAGATCGATTCGCTCATATCGAATGACCTCGATTTCCAGAATTTGATTTCAAGACCACCAGCTATTAGTCCCATTCTTGAAATGGGTGAATTCAAGCCGTTGAGATTTTATTCTTCTCAATATTTACGGTACAAAGGCATTTTAGAATGAGAAATCTGTCAAGGCATACTTCACGGCATGACTTATGCTCCACTCTTCTAATCGACTCGACGCAATAAACGACTTTCGAGTAAAAATACTACAAGAACTTACTCCCTCCAAAACGGCAGTATAAGTGTTAATTTCGTTAACAATCGATTGACGTTTCTTCTCGAGTTCTTGGAAAAGAACCATATCCGTTGAATTGTCAGCCATCCTAGCGTCTAACAGTAAAAGAGTCAACTTTGAAACCAATATCAAATGGTTCAAGTTATTACAACTGCATCCCACTGATAAAACGGCCCTTACTTTATACACCTCTGGCAGGCAAATTACTGCAAAGGCCCATAAAAAGATAAGGTCTGACTATCGTTTACTCATATGACGGTATTTCTACACCAAAACCTATGTTCTTGCAAATCTAGGCACAATCAAGCACAAGATTCTCACTACGAAATTCGGTTTTCCAAATCCGCTAAAGATGACTTTGTAATTTGCTTTCCAAAAAAGAATCTGAGTCGGTTTCAAAACGTCAAACAAAGACAATTAGAAGAAACCTAAGAAAGAAAACTTAAAAAGATAAAGAGAGGTCGATTTATATAAACATTTATTTTCGACGCAAAAAAAATGCTGCACATTAAGAGGGTTTACTGTCTCAAAAGTTAGGAAAAATATGGGCAAGGGAGGAGAGACCAGAACAGACGGTTGCCTTATCCGGTGCACCGGCCAGAGACTCAACTTCGCTCGCAATGGCGATAAGAGGGATGAGACAAGTCAGAAGAGCGTCAAGGAGCGCCGAAGTGACCTCCTCCAGTAAAACAGGACCCTTCAAACAAGAATAGTTTCTACTTATAAAATAAAAGTAAATAAATATAACAAATATTCGAAAAGACCCACAGTAAGTGCCTGTTACACAATCAAATGTTTAATGACAAAAAGCAGAGACAATTGTTCCAACGTTAGTGGAGTTCACAACACTAGCCCTGGGACTCCTATGTTAAAGCACCCACACCTAGTGTTAGGAACAAATTTCGATGGAGAATCTCCCTCAATTGCAAAGGCAAAGGAAAGTCAAGCTCAAGCAGACTCCTTGCAAATATTATTTGTACATATTCTAAACACCTCATCAACGTACTCCGACACATGCATTATTGTCCTATTTCCTCCATAAAATTCCCAATCCATACTAGTGCAAGGGAATATTAGGCAAATACGATGGCAACTTTAGAATAGGAGATTGCAGCTCTTGGTAGGGAGAAAGAATACCGATAATAACGTGCAAATCAGTTTAAACTGTTGATCACAGACCTTTTCAAAGCCAAAGAGAAACCAACTGATTGGAAGTAACGAACTCACCCGATACTCCCCCATGAGATCTGCTGCGCTGGCAAAGACGTCGGAGAGGAGTTGGAAATGTGCAGCCAAGTCCATTAGGGAGTACTTAGACGTCTCAGAGCGGGTCAGTTGGGTTTCCGCACGACGCAGCTCATTGACGCGTTTTGCTTCCGCTGCGAGATTCTTCTCTGGTGCCGCCTCCACAGCTTTCTGCATTCGCCGCGCCCGTACTCGCCACTGCTGACGATCACGCTCTGGAAGAGTCGACCATAGCGCCTAGATGTACGAAAACCTAGTTTCACTTCATTGCCTGTCACTCACGACAGCTCTTGGACATCGGCAAACGCAAACCCCATGCCAAGCCCCTTTCATCCGGCTGCCATTGTCACCCGATTATGATTCCATACACCGATTGAGCTGAGTAGCAGGTACTAAAAAATCGTCCTTCCAATGTCATTCAAAGGGACTTATTAGTAGCATCCATAAACCAACATTTCAAGCACATTGGGGTACTTGTAGGCAAAGTAGAAAACGAGACAGACGCATCTGAAGAGATGAAGAAACAAATGCGCTCATCTTAACCACGTGCTCAAATTTATAGAGGAACAAAAAATTCCGCAGCTCTAACTCACAATAATGGTAGAGGTCTAATCCTCTCGTACTTCCCTCAAAGATGGGACTAGACCAAGCATTCGCATAAAGCGATAAATGGAGAAAAGAAATAACAATACGAAAAGCGCGTTCTTTAAAAGTAGCGCCAACAGTTTTCAAAGTATAAAGGCCACGAGGCGTCGATGTTCCGATACGAATGAACACCAATTTTGCGTAAGAATGGAGTTTTGCCGCACGCCAACGGCGGAGTAAGATGTAAACGAGATTTAAAGTTATCCATACTATTTATAATAGCACCTATAATGGAGGTGATCACCTTACAACGGAGCATTCAAACTCAGCGAGAGAAAGGTACCGCACAGAGATACCTCCACAAACGAGCAAAATTCCTTCCATTCAATTATATTATAGGCTATAACGGAACAGTGATTTGATCAGTTATGCTAGAACAAGCGGCCGAATCAAGTACATCACCGCCAACATTCGAGAAAACGGTAGTTAAGTGAATCAAGAGGCAGATGCTGAAGCCCAAAAAAAAATGTACTAAAAAAGTTGGGAGGAAAATGCATTGTTCTCCCGCGTTGAACACTTCCACCTCTTCAAAATCCCATCCAATCTATCGAAACTCTCAGAAAGCAGCTCCACTTATGCGTCTCAAAATGCAATAGTTACGTTCCCATAAGTCACCATTTTGTTGATATTTGACTTAAAATTAAAAACACGAGCCAACAAATCTTTCGATTGTGTTTATGGCACTGCAATCTCCGGTTTCGAAAGGAGGCCTTAGATGAATGTAGTAGGATAAGAGTGCAATCTCTGCCAAACGTTACAATTTTTCTAATTTTATGGTATCGATTTCAGTTATCATCGAAAGACTCAACAGATTCACCATGGGCTCAAGCAAATACATCACTGGAAACTTAAGGTAATCAAACTAACAGATAAGCAGTGACAATGGAGGTATTGAAGCAGCTAAATAAATTAATCCAAACGTATTTGCTCGACGCTCACCTGCCAACGTCGATTCTGTGACTTCTGATCTTGTCCTCCATCGTCGTTGCTCACGCCGTACTTCTTTTTCATCGCCAAAGTGAACAGCGTGTATCCATTTAATCTACGATACGACTTCAATGTCTGTAATTAGAAGTAATAACAATCGCATGTGAAGGTAAGGTAAGTCTAAGAAGTACTCATCAATAGTAGTTAATAGGCAATTAAAGGAAAGGAAGAAGTTTGTCGAATGAATCCAAAAGAGAGTATACTACGAACCCTGCAAATACATAGTAATAATGATAATAATATTGATAATAATAACAATAATAATAGCATTGATCACTAAAACAACACGAACTTCAATGTCCAAGTCATCAACACCACTACTTTTCATCTTCTTTGATAGAGGCCCGCTAGCATTACCGTTTGCCTGGTCACTTTCCAAAGCGGGAAACAAAACGCTGTTCGGAGGAATAGGGTCTGCAAAAAATTCCCACACATTTCTGATTGGTCAAGTCCTTTTCAAAATCAATGGGGAAATGGACTCACCTTCTGCTGAGAGACTAAACGGTGGGAGAGAAGGATCAGTTGGGAGAACAGGTCTTTTTCGTGGAGACGGCAGGTCCTATAACCCAAATACAAATAGAGCCAAAGAAAGGATGCACGGAGGTACAATCGATAATAACCGGAAACCATACTGCGTTAATCTCAGGCATTCTGAAAGCGGGTGTACCACCTTCCCGCTGCCAAGAGGGACGAGAAGAGGAAAGGGGAGTGGAACTCTTTCCACGACCACGCTGCCGACTAGTGCGTCCTCGACCCCGGAGTA